TCACCCCCCGGCCGCCCCAGTAGCCAGCCCAGTACTGGCATTTATAATTCTTGGGCCAGAAGAACTTTTGTAAATTCTATCCTTACTAGCAGGTACCTTTATAAATGGCTTACATCTACGCCAGCCTGAGCATCATTATATTCTTCTGTCCAGTAGTCGTAGTCTCCATATTCATCTTTATTGGCGTATGGATTCGCTAGGCCTGGCTACCTTATCATCATCAACACTTCACCATGCCATTTCAGCCCAAGATGTTCTCTGATAGACTGTTCTCCGGGGCGGCCAGATCGTAGGTGTAGTATATGTCAAAGCTTTGCATGCAGCCTTATAGATATTCGTCAATACAAATGGTGATCTTGTGAACTTGGCCATTCATGATGTCGCTGGTCTTAACTGTGCCATTGTCGTCTACAGCAGTGTCATACTCTTAAATTGACCCCTCATGCCCATGATCTTTCTGTGGTGCTGTACCATGATGTAGTTAGCACAGACAAGTCAGCTCACACTGGGGTAATGTGCTTGGGAACATGTGAAGGTAAGGAACCGCCAAGGCTGCCCAACCAACAAGAGATTGTGTTAATTCAACAGAGAATGAATAGAAGGCAAGTCACCAATGGCACTTGGCTGCAAAGGTACCGTAGAAACCTAGATAGGTTGGATGATGGTCATGGAGCAGACACCTCTTGGGACGGGGATAATGTGCGAGGCGACGTTAGAAGCGGAGGCAAAGTCGACATCGCCAACGAGACGACAATATAGACCAGCTTACCAGGGATGTAGTTAGTGCCGATGTTGACGGCCACAGCACTGGGCTTCAACCAGGACTCTTGAACAAATTCCGTCTTGCCGATATCCAAAACGACAAACTAGGCAGTTTTAACCTACGTAATACTGGTGAGCCTTTCCCAAGCTGGAAGTGAGTAGATGAACCAAACAATATCCGACAAGTTCATGGTGTAGCTGTAGTGCTGAGTGATCATGACATTCTTGTTCCTTGGCATAGCCGCGACAGTGCTGCTGACGATGTCGCTATGACCAAAAATGACAGCATGGGGACTTTCAATGGGGACTCTGCTGGGCTGCAGGAGACCAATGAAGTCAGCCAGAGTGCAGGATGTGAATAGGGGCATAGAAGCACGGGACAAAAGATGGGAAACCTAACAAATCTGCCCCTAATGCCTACAATAAGACACAATTTCCTAATTAGGAGTTACATAAAAAAAAGTGTCACGTCAACGTTCTCCAGAACCACTGTGATACCTCTTGCTTATTCTCTTTACATTACACATACACTCTCATCACTGTCAGACTGAGTAGTTGCGTTTACGGTCGGCGACACTGATCAGGTCACCTATAGACCTGCCCAGAGCAAGTTAAGCCCTGTCATACCCTCCAGGCATGTCAACTATGTATCGGTAGATGCCTGTAAAAACAGGCTTCAACCCTTTATATGTGCATGTGTCGGTGGCACCTTCAGTATGCTCCACTGCCTTTGTCTGTCTGATTTCATTGCTTTGCCTACTTGAAGCCTTGAAGTCAACAGGATTTTCCTTCCTGGATTATTCAGCCTAAATTTATACACCCTCACAGAAAGGCCCTAGAATTTATGAATTCCAGTTGGACAGCCTCCATTTGTCTCTCGATAATGTAAATTACCTGTTTAGCTGATGTATTTCAGTACAAAACCTTGAGTCACAGCCCAGATACAATATCTCCCAAACGGAGAGAAATGTCAATAGGCTCCATCAATTTGGCACCTAAAATTCACGTTGCCCTCCAATAATTCTCGCTTGCGAGCAGAACTGATAGGCTCAACTGATCGATAGATGACCTGATCAGTGTCATTGACCGTGTGTGTTTCATTGTACTGAGAGCATAACACGAAGACAGCTGACAACTCATAGATTTGTAGACCAATGGACAGGTAAGGATTACATCTTACCGGGTGACTGGTGAATTATATTTACTTATGTCGAGAAACTTACGGGATATTCGCCTTTTCGGGTGCTTCCGCAGCCGTCGATCACTTATAGATCGGCCGGCCGCGGCACGGCACAGCCACGCCACGTGCGTCCACCTGCCTCCGTTGGGCATCGCGCTTCGCGCGCCGCCACTTTGCTTCCAGTGTTCGAACACTTCATCTCTCTCGGAGCTCTCCATCTTGTCTCGATAGTTTCACTGTATATATGCTTGTGTCATATGTTTCTCTCTATTGTGATTACTTTGAGTGACCTCCAGTACCTGCAAGTGTCTTTGTATACGAGTTTTTGTTTATTTTCTTCTCAATTCTTGAGGCAGAGGCTACCAGATGGCACCGTGTGGCCCAGAAAAGTTTGAGTGATGGCCAAGGTCAGCCGAAGAGCGTGCGATGACGCCA